TTTATATTTATTAAAAATATATTTTTTATATAAAAAATCATAACAAATTTAAATTGTTGAAAGTAAAAAAAAAATTGTTAAAATTTTATATAAATATAATATATAAAACTTATGTATAAATAAATTTTTCATCTTTTAAATCACATAAAAAGTAAATGCATGTTTTTGTGATTTGGGTAAGTGCACTCACCTCAAACTTGACGGTGACTGCAATTTTCTTAAATACATAAGCTTAGTTTAACAATGAAGCTTGTAATTGCAAATTATAGGTTTTTTTGGAATTTTAATATTTTAAAAATATATAAAATATATTTTATATATCTAATATTTATTTTAATTAATATTTTATATACTTTTAAAATAATAAAAAAATATAAAAATAAAAAAGTAACACTGAAAAATATTGTTAAATGAAGCTATAATCTCATCATTCTGTAAAAAAATAAAAATAAAATAAAAAATAAAAAATCTAAACTCATCCTTCTGAACCAAAGGGCCCAGCTCCATAAGCAAACGAGACAGCCTCAATCCAAGGAAAAAGAAGTACATCACGTTCACTGGATTCATCATATTCACTGAACGCGGGGCCGATTCCAAACTTGGAAATCTTTCACGTGAGTTATGCATTGTACCTACAAAATTTGTACAATCCTCCAAAGTCTATATTATCGACGTACGATGGAATGTACTTGGCCCACTAAACGGCTGGATTGTTTTTGACTCATAAACAAAGTGAAAGCCGGATTTAACAGTGCAAATCCCCTTCTCAGATCTTCATATACTCTCATATGTGATATTGCAGTTTTTATCTGGAATTAGTTAAAAAATAGGTTCTTAATTGTATTGAAACTATAAAGTTAGAGTCTTTTATTTCATTTGGAATTATGGACTAATTTGTAACAATTGTTAGTTATGGGATTGCAAGTTATTTTAACAAATTGCAGTCCATGTAAGAGATTAGTGGAGTCTAGGATTCTATAACATGATAGAGTCAATGACAGGTGTCTTAATGAGAAGCTAGTAAAGTGCGAAACAATTAAAACCCGTTAGACTGGAAGTTTTTGAGCCTTATAACTGAACTAGTATTTTTTTTGCATTTTTCCTTCTAACTAGACTAAAAGGGAAGGAGAAAGCAGGTGCAGAAATGCTAGACAACCTTGGAGATTCTTGAAGAAACTCTGTCAAGTACAAAATCTTGAACAAATGTGTGGTGTAAGTGTGATTCTTAACTTAGGCTATCAAACATAAAAAGAGGAATAAATATAAGATAGACAAAGTATACAACATAGAGATTGCAATACCAATTTCTTAGTGAAATTCATTGTGGCATGTGGGGATAGTAAGAATGAGATTTAAACTAGACTATTATGGTTTGGAACTAAGATTTACTATATGAAAAATGATTGATACACCCATCGGTTCAACACCCTTAACAACACCCCTTCGGTTTAGTCATTAAAAATATAATATAAATACAGTCAATTCAATCGGTTCATGTATCTTATGTGCATGATTGTATCATTAAACTTGTTTATTTTTAATTTCAAACTAAAAAATAGTGAGTTTTTAATGACTAAATGGAAGAGTGTTGTTAAGGATATTGAACCAGAGAGTGTACCAATCACTGTCCTTATTACATTTTAATGAGTTAAATTCCAAAATGTTCATGCTATGCATGTTTTCTTTGTGGTTCTACAAACTACATTAATTGTTGAATATGTAATACATGTTTCTATATAGTATATGTTTCTATAGTATAATTTCTTTAGAACTATGAAGAGTTTGGAGCCTAATTTAGGCTTATGGGTTGGAACAAGGAACTAGTGGACCTCTATGCAATAGGTAAGTGTTCTAACTAGCTCTGACACCTAATGTGAGTGCATTCATATTTAGTGGACTCCATAGTTAGTGTTAAATCTATGTAATGTGTTGTGTTGTGTGATTATTCTATGGCTAATTGTTTAAATTATTAGTAATACCAATACTGTTAGAAACTAATGGTACTTTTTTGCATAATAAACTAAATAAAGATTATCAGCTTAATTTATGGTTAAGAATTATGCTTATTGGGTTATGAGTGATCATGGAGTTTATTCCACTATTTCAAATAATAGCAGTGAGGAATAGCTGATCTTTCCTAAGACTTTTTGTTGGTGTCCTATGCTAACAATAGATGATGCATCTAAGTAGTCAATAAGTCTGTATTTGTCTAAAATTATGGTTGGTTTTGTAATTTTTAATCTATTTTGTACTAATCTTGAGCCTATAAATTATATATAAAATAAGCCTTTTGATCTCATAGATTTTTTTTTTTCTTGTGCACTCTAAAATTTCTCTCCAGTAGCTACACTAATGTTATACTGTCACTTTTTTGCTCCATCATTTGTATTTTAACCTTGAAATAACAAAATTTTAAAACCTATTTATTTCAAGAAAACAATTGAATTAATATTTTGTATAGGACATTTCTTTACTTGATAAACTATTAGTTCATAAAAAGAGGATGGTACATATTCCTTCTGCAGATTAACAACAAAGGTTAATTGCAATATTGCATGTTTCTCAATTTCTGAAAATTTCCCTTGTGAAACTAGGCTTGATCCTCATGGAAACTTGATCAAGAAATGTCGGAACCTTCCCAACAGCGATTGGCATTGTGAACTTAAACATGTATTTTGAGAAGCCAAAACTTGTGCTAATCCTATTGCGTCGAAGCTTTACCATTTGGGTAAACATTGGTATTATTTTAAAGAACTACATGTAATATAACAAATGACTGAAGACTTTCTAAGTATTTATAGATCTAAATTTTTAAACTAATCAGTATATAAAGGCACCACCTATGGTACCAAAAAAAAAGGAAATTTTTTTCCCTTGAATACCACTCAGATTATCCCATCTTTTTTCTAGTAACTTAAATAAGTTCTGAAATTTTGACTGGAAGAAAATCCCCTTCAGCTGGATGATATTCCAGAGAAGCACCATGTATTCTATGTATCCGTCAATCTTGACTAATTTATTACTTTTCGTCCCAATGCTTTCCTCCCAAATGTCAAATAATTTGGAATGGGAATAATATGTCAGAACATTGAGGTGTATTGCACGCAGGGTGGGATGTATTACAGTACAGCATTTTCATAATATATATCAAATTGTTAAGTTTAAAAATATCAAATTTTTTGTTTGAAAGTCACGGCATTCCCATCTTAGTTTTTTGCGATTTTTGAAATTGATTTTTTAATAATTTTAAGAATACATATTTATATTGAATTAGTGTATTTTAAATAATAAATTTTTTAAAATTTTAATTTTAAAATTAAATTACAAAATAATATTTATTTATTAAAAATTAAAAATTAATTGTTTAAGTAAGATTTATATAAATAAATTCTCCTAATAAAAGCAATGCGGCAGGCAAAATTTACTTTAAGCTTATTAGGGGACACCTTAAGCTTGAGTCAATGGGAGCATTTACAAGACCACGGCAAAAGTCTACTTTTAATCTCTCATTTTACTAAATTTTAAGGTCTTAACTCTTCATTTTATATTATGACACTTTGAGTCCCTCACTTATTAGATTTGTAGATTTTAATCTCTCACCTTATATTATGACACTTTTAACCTATCACCTATTAAAATTGAAGAAAATAGTTCTCACTTTATAACATTTTGTTAGTTTTATTAGCTGACTGTTAACTCTATTAGCTAACTGTTAATTAACCGTTAATTGACAAAAACCTTCTTTCAGCTAACAAAATTAACATAATTAATTTTATAATATTTCATTAATTCTGTTAATTGACAATTAATTGACTATTAGTTGATAAAAATCTATTTTTAGACTTTCAGCTAATAAAGTTAATAGTTAGTATAAATTAATGGCTATTTTCTTCAATTTTAATAGGTGAAGGATTAAAACCTACAAATCTAGTAAGTTAAGAAGTTAAAAGTATCATAATATAAGGTAAGGGGCTCAAACCTTCAAACTTTATAAGGTGAAAGACTCAAAGTAGGTTTTTACCCAAGAGCACACGAGAGAGATCAGGTCAAAAGGCACTCACGAGTAAATGCCCCATGGCTAAAAATATTGGTAAAAATCTATTTTAGCCCCTCATCTTATCAAATTTAAAGGTTTTAATCCCTTACCTTATACTATAACACTTTTAACCTCTAATATTATTAGATTTGTAAGTGTTAACCCTTCATCTATTAAAATCAAAGAAAATAACTCTTACTTTATACTGATAGTTATCTTTATTAACTGAAAGTTTTTGTCAATTAACAGTCATCTAATAGTTAGTTAACAAAATGAATGAAATATTATAAAATTAATTCTGTTAACTCTATTAGTTAAAAGAAAGTTTTTGTCGGTTAACAGTCAATTAACAGTCAGCTAATAAAGCTAACAATCAAATAACAGTCAATTAACAAAACTAACAAAATGTTATAAAGTGAGGGTTATTTTTTTCAATTTTAATAAGTAAAGAGTTAAAAGTGTTATAATATAAAGTGAAGAGTTAAAACCTTCAAACTTAACAAGGAGAGAGGCTAAAAATAAGTTTTTACCAAAAATACCCTCTTACGTTTAAAAGATTACTCTATGAAGTTCGTAACCATTTGTAGCTCTGCCACACATACGCCATCTGAACTAAGCGAAACTCCTAAGGAAATCTTAATTTTGTATATAAACCCTCAAACTATTTTTAAGTAAATAAATCCCTTAACTTTAAAAATAGGCAAAAAAAAAAAAATCCCATAGTTAGTAGAGTTCCACGCATAATTGCACTCTCACGTCAATTTAATGCCCATCATTCCTCATGTTTGGACAACACCTACCTTCCACATCAACACATACATGAACCACAAATAAATAAATCAAAAGTTAATTATTAGATCTCTCTCTTCTTATTTGTTGTTAGCATTAGCACTAAGATGGAAAGTTGGTATCAGGCAAGCATGAGGAATGAGGATAATGGACACTAACCTAACAGGCAGAGCTCTGTTAAATTTGTGGTTTTCTTTTTCCCATCACAAGAAGTCAAGTGACTTATTTATCCTAAAAGTAATTTAGAGAGGTTTATATGCAAGAATTGGGTTTGTTCAAGAGCTTAAGATATCGTTTTGCCTTTTTTTTTTTTTTTTCCTTTTTCTTTTTACATCTAAGTGGGATCTCTTCTCTTCTCTTAAATGGTGACTCAATATTTAAACTTAAAATTTTTCAATTTAAAACCTAAAATTCTTAATCATTGTATAAGCCATTG